GGGGGGGGGGGGGGGGGGGAGTCTAGCGTCTGAGGCAACTGAGGCACAGGGGATAGAATGTGCTTGCTTTTTAGGCTCAGACTCTGTTTTTTTCTAGCTGTGTGACTTGGAGTGAGTGGTTCTACCTCTCTGAACCTCAGTTACTTTACATGAGAAGTGGGGTGCATGTGCCTCAGGACAGAATGTCTGCAATCAGAGTAGATTTTCTGTGAAACTGTGATATACAATGCTGACTATTGGGGGACGGTTCTCGTGTCTTAGGGCAATGGTTTTGCTACCCCTCTCTGGGAAAACAACCAAGAGAGAAGGTTCTGGAATCTTGCCAAACTATCTTTCACCATCAGGAAAATACCCTAAATGGAGATTGATACCTCTTTATTGTGTAAATATACATTACATTCATTGGGGAACTGGAAAAGACAATTTATTTGAATTGTTTAAAGAGCTCACAATGCCTTGAGCGAAATTTCTGAATGGAAGTCTTTTAAGAGGTACATCTAAGCCAGTTTTTTTTTTTTTTAAAAAAAAAACATCACTTTGAAAGTGGGAGTAGAACATTCCAGTTACTGAACAATAGTGGGGTTATCTGACTCCCACCCCCAACCTCCTGCTGAAAGCCCCTCTTAGAATCCCAGGCAGTGCTTGCTGGGTCTGGCTGCTCCTTTTGTACCCTGGGTGCAGCCTAGACATGACATACTTCACCTTAACCACTTGCATCACTCTAGGGACCCTAAACAGAGTAGAGTCAACAACAGTGCACCATGGTTACAGTTTGATAAAGGGGCCTTGGGCTTCCTTCTCCTTCTGTATGGGACTTAAACCATGCCTGTTGATTGCTGTCAGGAATGCCCCTGGAGCCTCAGGGGCAATTAGACAGAGACTCATGGCTTCTCCTGACCTTCTAGGATGGAGAGGTTTGTTTTCCAGAGCAGAAGTAGACTCTAGCACTGGTGAGGCTGAGTTTAATGTGGAGAGTTATGGAGAATGGGAGGAGCAGAGACACTGAACAGGTTCATTTCATTAGTAATTATCACACTGCAAGGACACCTAGTCCTGCCCTGTGCCTCTTGACCTTGGTGAAACCAAGACCAAGTTTGAAACAAAATCTCCAGGCTGGGCAACCTTGGAGGGCAAGTGGCTAAACTGCCTGCTCTAACTAGTTATCACCCAACCACAGGAAGCTCACCACTTCCCTGATCCCTCATGCATGCAGTGCTGGGATCTCTGAGTATTAAGGAAGAGCTGCCCCACCCCCTTTTACATCCCTCCCCTGCTCACAGTGCCTCCTCCCTCATGGGAGGTGAGAGGGCTGGTCCAGTCTTTGGAGTAACAGCTTTTCAAAGATCAAAATCTGCTTCTGTGGAATCATGATTTTATTGCTGAAGGGAACGTCAGACATTATTGACTGTTGTTATAGAAAACTGAGGGTCAGAGAGGGAAATGGACTTGCCTAAGGTCTCACGAGTTGTGGGATAGAGGGGTTCATGTTAGGACTTGAACTTCTTGACTCTTGATTTAAGAATTTTCCTTAAATTATGCTAAGAGGCACCAGGTTGGGCTGTACAGGCTGCACACTGTACAATCCCACGGGTAGCTTCCTCCCCCCTTAGTGAGTGTATATGGTACCCCTTGGGGTTATGAAGTACGCAGGCCCATGGTCATATACAAAGACCGTCACCTAGTTCTGTACTCTTCCCTCCCCAAATGTAGGAGGAAGGTACATTCATTCAAACTAGCACAACAGGGAATAAAATATCCAAGACAATGCTAACAGTCCTGCACCTTGACTGTGTACTGTATACCAGGTGCTGTGCTGGGTGCTTTGCTTGTTAGTTACAGCTGAGGCTGCAGCCAGGGCCTGGACAGAGTGTCCCAAACCACCAGACTGAGCTGCAGAAGTACTCACTCCAGCCCCTGATGCTGTCCCACACGGGACTTGGCTTGGCAACTCTCCTGAATGGTGGACGCCAGTCAAAGAATGAATTTTTCTTCAACTTCCTGTATGGGACAGATGCAAACCGCTGCTCCCAGCACCTCAGGCCAGGGCAGGGCAATGGGCCATTGGATGGCTGTGAGGCTTTACCTGAATGGGCCCTTTGAGTGCATAGAAGGGGTGCAGGTGCTTCTGATTGCAGAGGCTCTTCCTTCCTGCACCTCCTCCTGCCCCCACCTTCTTTAGAGTGAGGATCTGAAGCCAAAATCAATGTCAACATCTGGGAAAGAGGCAGGACAGAGCATCTGGGGGCCTGGATCCTACCCAAGGCCCCAGAATGAGCTGTGGGCCTAAGAAAAGGCCAGCCCCAGTTTGAAGATACTGGTTAAACTAAGATACAAAGAAAATTAAGTTGGGAACAGCCTGGCTTGGGGTGATTACATGCTGGGCTGTGAGCCCCAAGCCTGGTTTCTGAATCAGGGAGGCTCATCCTGGCCACTTACTCTGCTTACCATAGTCAGAGGACATAGGAGGGTCCTGAGAGGTGGGTCACTTAGGACCAAGGCTGCTTTCCTCTGAAAGTATGTTCCTCCAAGATTAGGAACTGATTGCAGAATTCAGACCCAAAACTGGCTGAGCACAACCCCGCAGGTGACGAAGTATCCTGTCTGTAGTTGGTTCCAGGGCTTATAAGCACAGAAGCAGCATTAGGACAGGGACAGTGATACAAACCCTCCTTCATGAGGTGTAGGTGCTAGCTTGCATCTGCATTTCCCCTGTGGTAGACAAAAGGAGAGAGATTCTGCCATTTTCTCATTTAAAATGTGTCCCAAACATACTTTATCCTAAACAGATCCTTATGCTAACAAGCAAGCATCAGAGGGTGGTCCAGTACCCTCTTTCCAAGTAGGATCCTATGTGGCCTCCACCGGTCAAGATTCTCAGCTGGGGACTTGGTCTGTCTTTACCACAGGACCCACTCTATGGCTCACATACTTGGTGCTCATTTGTGTTTCACTGGTGATGTGGTACTTTGAGTCTTTCAGAGAAACAGCTATCTAAGTGTAGAGTTTAAGCATCCCTGTGTCAAGTGCTTCACACACCAACTAAAGGCCATTCTGACCAAGCATGAGAGGCACAGTACCTTGTCCTAAATAATCTGATTTCAGTTCCTACCAGGTCGTTTTGCTTCTTGTGTGATGAATCAACTTCCTTCACCCTTGTGCCACTTTTTCCCAGTGTTCATTAGAAAAATATTCAACTCACGAATTTGACAGTGACTATTCTGGTACCCATTCCCTAGTTCCTGCTACTCCCTCACTGCGATGCTGGCTGTCCTTGACCATCTGTTCATGCACTGTTGAGGGCACTTTGACCTGATCACTCAGGCATCTGAGAGCTAAGGCTAAGTGTATACACTTCACAGCCAAGCTGCCAGGTTTAGCAGTTTTGCTGAGTGTCTGTAAAGAAACAACTACACCTGCCTCATAATGTTGAGTCTGTACCTGGGCATGGTAAAGTGGTTAACAAGTATCTGCCATTACTCAGTGATGTGAGGTCAACTCTTATACATGCAAGATTTGAACTTGATTCCAGAGATGCGGCATCTTGCAGGGAGTAACTAGGTCCGTCACATAGGGGTGGGGGTGGGGTTGAGAGTGGGAGGGTGAGGGGGTGGGGGCTCCCTTGCTCTCACACAGACATTGCTCTTCTGCACTTCTGTTTTATGCTCAGGGCCTCATCAGAAGGTCTTAGATTCAAGAACTTTGCTCTGACACCCTGGGGACGGCCCAGGACTGTAGGCAACAGGCTGGTGATACTAATCTGGAGTCCCACACAGCTCTGCTTCTGACACCAAGGCTAAGACCAGGGGTCATGATTCTGTACTACACTCAGACCAGTGCCCGTCACCACAGCTATGGCCACAGCTGGGCTGTGTCTTACACCATGTAGCTAGACAGAAATTTCCATTCTCAGCTTTCTAAGAAAACTGAGGCCTACTGGAATAACACTGAGTATCCTCTGTCCCACAGCAAGTAAGTGGCCAAACCAGGATTGAAACTCAGGTCTGCCCGACTCTTCATCCTGGACTGTTTCCATTACCACTTGTTTTCTGTAGTGAAAGTGCCACACACTGGTATTGCCCCACCCCCAATGCTAGCTGTGCTTGGTGGTCTGGAGGGTTCCAGGGAAGGGGAGCATGTTTTCCTGTCTGATGGCCTGAGGGCTTTTAGCTCCACCAGCAACTCATCCATAGACAACACTGAGGTTGTGCTCAGTTGTCCTTCCTTGCTCCTTGGCCCCTGGTGACCACCTGTACTCGAGGGACAATCAGGAGCTCAGAGTTTGGGGCCTGCCGTCTGCAGAGGATCATTCTGCTCATTAGGGGAGTTTCAGATGACACCACCCATGAGCAGAGCTTGTGTGCTTGTGCCTGTAGAGAGAGCCATGGGAGTTCTGAGGGGCAAGTCTCCATGCGCCCCTACCTCCCTGTGTAGCAGTGAGCTCCATTCATGCTCCAGTACACAGCAGGACCTCATTGTGCCCAATATGGCCAAGGAGGCTTGGAATAGACAGAGAGAGGGACTGACTGGGTTAACTGATGTTGCCCACATGGGAAGTGAGGGGTTCTGTGCAAAGCTTCCTGCTGAGTGCTATGCAGGAAGAGAGGGGTGACCAGGGGCTTCTGTGTTCTTATAGACTGGACTGGGAAAATGACTTGGACCTAAGTCACTGCAGGGGGACATAAAATATGTGCATAGCCCAAGGTGCAGGATGGGAAGCCTTCATGGAAAAGAGGGAACTTGAAGGAACAGAGCAGGAACAGTGGCATTTCCACATATGGAGAGCGGAGACAGATGTGAGAATGTGCAAGAAATGCCCAACGCCAGTGAAAACAACCTGATTTCTGCTCAGAAGCAACCTCAGGGTCTCTGTCTGGAAAACAGCCAACTCAGATGTAGAGA